AACAAGAAGAAGAGAGAGAGAGACAGAGAGAGATCGAGAGAGATCAATGTACCCTCACAGAGAGGGGGTGGCAGGTAGAACAATAGAACTTATTTAAAAAGTGAACAGAACTATACACATCCCACCAGCGGGCCAGCAAGACTGTGGCTCAGATTGAAAAGAGCCAGGGACCTAAGAGTCATCCATCAGCTCAAGGATCATTTCCTCCATGTCATCCTTCAACACGTGGTGCACGATGCGCCAGAATCGGTCCATAGAGTCCAGGTACATGCTGTGAAGGTGGATCGTCCAGTAGGAAGGCATTGTGTTCGAAGTCAGTGGGCTGGACGGGAGTCCGTTATGCTCACTGGGGTAGTCGACCTGGCTCAATTGTACTAGAAGGTGACCTTCTGTGTCCATGACGTGATGCAGCCATGTGCGGTGGTTCTCGTCCTCATAAACCGAGGGCCCACGAATACTCAGGCAGTTGGGGTGTGAGCTGAGGTGGAAGATCAATGGGAGCTCGGCCATGACCCCTCCGTGGTCGACAGAGCAACAGCCACAGCTTCTCAGAGCCTCTCACTTCTTCGGTCCTGGTATCAAAAGACAGGGGATGGGGTCTACAAACGCATTTTACCTCGGCTTTTATCTTTATGGTTTTTACGGTTGTGTTTGTGGTTGCCTTTGGTTTATTTTGCAAATTTATAAATCACAACCTGTCTTTCTTTTCAGTTTTAGAGCTCTTTCTCAAACAAACTGTACAAAAAGTGCGTAAGGTAAAATATGACTCTATGAAGGTAACATGGTCCTATGTAATTTTAAAAACATTTTTAAGTGACAGTTCACATAGAACCTTAGGTTCATTTCAGGGGTACACCCCAATGATTAGACATTATATAATGGACTAAGAAACCATGGTATTAATCCCATACCCATAGGACACCATACACAGTTATTATAATAATAGTAGAGTCTCAGTGCACAAAATTTATGCACTCGGGGGTGTCGCTCAGCCAACCCTTCAGCCTTTCCCAGTCCAAGACCCCTTGAGGGAGTCCAACTGACGGCTTAGGCCCGCTTTAGTGCTGCCATGGAGGCTGCCACCAGCCCCTGTGCTCTGGGGCTGTGAGCCTGGA